CAATCCAGGTCTCAAGCTACTAAATATGTGTCCAGAATCGCGAAAAAAGTGAACAGAATAATTAGCTTCCATCGCCAGAGATTAACGGTGCAAGCGCAGTTGCAGAACAAACACCACTTTTATTTTGTAAAAGGACAATTATTTAGAGTGTGGAAAGAAGTGTAGAGTGAGGCAGTATCATTGTAAGAGGTTATATCAAACTGAACTCAAAAGAGAGCGAATAGAGAAGAAGGATATGAAGATAACAAACAGTATTCAATTTCAAAGTCCACAAACAAATACAAAATAAGAGCACAGCTAACACGGATCCCCGAAACATCAGAGGTGGGATCAGGTGCAATGGTGAGCATCCCCTGCCGACCGGTCACACCCGCCGTGTGCTCCTTGGCATGATCAGGAAATAAGGGAAAAAAATCTGTCGTTAATTCAGTATTAAATAATGGACTAACAATTGGTATAAAAAACGTCAGTCGGCATTTGACTCAGTGATAAATTGTATTTGCCGACAAGGTCATTGTATCGACCATAGAACTTACGAAATGATGACTTTAAACGAGACTGCTGATATTCTTGTTTCATCAACTTGTTTGTCAACAATTTACCTCGTTTGAGAAATTGTTCATACGTAGAGCATGCTCTTGCGTATCGAATCAACTGAGATATATATACTTCGTATGCATCGATGAAGGTATATTACTGCATAATTTAGGGAAGTTGACTATAGAAAAGTCAAAGTCATCACGTTTATCATATAGCTTGGTTAGATTACCATTAGAGTGTCTTTTGCAAGTAAAATATCCAAGTATGAAGCAGAAGTGTCGGACTCTGTGGTATTTTAAATATCAAGCTCACCAGGATATATCGTATCGACGTAGTAATGGAAATTAACATTATTAATTGACAATACGTCGTCGATATATCTATATGTCGAGTTGAAGGCCACAGCAAGTGTTTTCTTCTTTCCATGCATAAGATTAAGCATAAATTCTGCTTCATATGAAAAAAATAATAAGTCTGCTAATAACGAAGTGCAATTTGTACCCATAGGAATTCCAATAGATTGTTGGAATACCTGGTCTCCGAAAACCACATTGATATTGTCAATCAGAAACTCAAACATCTTCTTTATGTCAACTTCAGAGTATTTAAATGTGCTACCAGAATCTGTTTTAACAAAATAATTCTGCAAATGACCGATGACGAGGTGAGTAAATTTACGAGTTCCATTTTTATCGAAGAAGCAGCTCTCAATGATATCAAAAAGCCTTGATTTTAATTTGTGGTGGGAAATTGTTGTGTTTATAGTGAAATTTTTTTTTTAAGTAGTTGAATTTTGTAAAGTCTTGTGATTTCAAATTGTCCAAAAGTTCTTTAGAAATTTTTAGTATCCACATCTGATTCACACCACTTCATAAATATATAAATGCACAGTACCCTGGAAGTTTTTTCTTCACTACTGTCACAAAATTTGTTGAGGAGTAAAGAAAGAGACTTGGTTGAACATTTACTGGAACCTGCAATGTATCTTTGTTTGTAAGGATTCTTATGAAGTTTCGGTATCCAATATATATAAGGTAGTTCAAATTCATTTTGGCTCTGTCGAATATTAAATGTATTCAAAACTGAGAGGTGATTTTGAAGAATTTCTTCGTTAGAAAGGGAAGTATGGGTATAAGTAGTGCAAATTCAAAAATTTCGTGCCCCTAGTATACCCCAGTAAACAAACTAGGGTTTCTTGAGATACCCTAGTAAATAAAGAAAGGTTTCCTAGGATACACCAGTAAACAAGTCAACGGGTTTTTGGGCAACGTCAATCATAGACAATGAGTTCCTCATACATTGTGTGATAAAATGTGGTTGATTGAACATGTTTTAATGATGGATTATATGGAGAGAGCAGTGCTTTTTTAAGTTATATAATGATATCTAGAGCAAATGCTCAGATTTGATTACAAAAAAGGCATTTGTAAATCTATTTATTTAGTACGTTCATACTCAAAAATGTAAATAAAATTTATTGTTGCTTTGTTTTAAAGTTTATTGTTTGCTTTTTTTCCAATAAAAATATATACTAAATGTCAGTTCTTTTCAATACATATTTCTAAGAAATCGATTTATTTTGTGTGTTCGTATTTTTTGAAAAATAATTTAAGAGTCTAATAGCGTTTAAAATAAATGCGCTATTGTCAAGGTAGATATTGTCGACCTGTAAAATAAACTTTTCTCTCAATGCACATGTTGTGAAAATGTGTACCTACCCTCAATGCACTGATTATAATTTCACTACATTTTGTCGCTGAAAAGACTGTGGTCGTTCCTTTGGCTGGCTACCGAAACCAGGTCACGATTTTCTGTTTGTGTATGATAGGGGCTTTTAATTATGTAACATAATTCCAAGGATACCCCAGGAATTATTCTTAGAGAGACTTCTAAATTTGTGGAATGGGGCATTTGATCAGATAATTAAAATGTCACCGGGAGATGACCCTGAATAAGGGAAGCAATCCTGTGCGAGCATATCAAAGCGTGTGATTTTAATCAGATTTGCATTTGTTTGTAAATACCTTGATATATTTGTTGTCAGTCTGACTAAAGCCAGCCCCTACTACATGTATTTCACTTCATTAGTAGGGCTGGTTTTAGACAGGTTGTATTTGTTGTAGTCCTGTTGTAATTCTGCATGTTTCACAATCGTAGATTTGCACTGATTAAACATTGGTATTAATAAAATATTCTGATTTTTGTTCTTCACTATGTGTTCTGGACTGGCCTGAGCATTGTCGGGCTTTGCCTTCTCTGGCTTTAATGTCTTCATCTGAACCACCTGTATTACTACTGATGGACCTTAAATTGAGAGTTTATTAAGGTTATAATTTAATCCTTTTTATTATTTTCCCGTTAAACTTTTCTTAAATGCAGGAGGACTAATTTTGTTTGGTAAGCTACACAGGGCTCTTGTAAATTTTAAAGCTTTTAATGACCAAGTGCTTCCCACCCAATATCTTCTCAAGAAGAACCATTAAGATTGAATCATAGGATTGTGAATGTGATCAATGCCCTTGGACAATGATCCACCATAAAACTTATTTCATTGATCCGCTTTACCCCTTTAGTAAGCATGACTTAATAAACGAATTGCAGTTAATAGTAAAAATGTGTTAACAAAGCACTGGACTGATATAAGATACCTTATTGTTGGAATTCAGGTACGTAATTATAACTATATTCATTTTAAACTAAGCTATCGTGTGCACATATCGCCGGAAAGGACACTCCAAATCCTATATAATTACAGTGTATAATGGCAAATTTCATATCTTTGCTGTGGGAGACCCGAAATTTGTCAGATCAAAAAGTAAAATAGGAGGTGCACAATGTAATTTTTTAAGGTATCATTAAATTTACTTTTATTCAGTGGAAGAAGTTGCGGATATGACATGGGTACAAGTACCCTTTAATATTACAGAAATAATGGTAGTGTTCACGTTTTCATATGAGAAACGCCAAAAAATATGTGTCGGAACAAAAAATAGGAGGTGCACAAATTTTTTTTTATATATTATGAAGAAGTGAATGTCTCGTTAAATTTATTCAGTGGTATAGGAGTTTCAGATAAGATATGGGTACCCCCAAATCGCAATACAAAGACGGACAGACGGACGACACGCTATTAAAATATCTCTCAGCTTTTCAAGCGGGGGTATGAAAATAGCAATATAAAAATTGTAATTTGTATAAGAACAATTAGAAAAAAATTGCTTTTCAAAAAGTGATCAGCGAATAGCCATAATTTGTTCTAACTGTAATGCCATTAGCTTTATTTAAAAAAGTTATTTAAAGCACATAAAAATGTACAAGTAGGCAAGAAGTGTGTAAATCAATTTACAAATATCCTTTAAGTTGATTTTCAAAAGAGTCGCTGAACAGTAAATCTTTTCAAAAAAATACACCATGCATCTAATATCTTGTAAACCATTTAAAACTTATTGAAAAAAGTTTTTCTATTCCTCAATGATTTCTATTATTGGTTTACCTTCTGTCACGTTCAAGAAGCTTAAGTACCTAAAAATCATTCCTTTACATTTTCATTTTAATTCTAAATGTATAATTAAGTGATTGAAAAAATAAAAATGATAACAGTGTTTAAATATGATATTGATGATACTAACTTTTTGTTGTTTTATACACGGATTGAAGAGAATTTCGGACCTGGACGCAAGTCTTTCATTGATTGATTAAATATTTAAAATGCCACATTTAAAATCTTCGATAAAATGGAGACGCCTGCGTGTGTCTGTGAAAAACTAAAAGTCGGCACTCATAATCTTTGAGGAATTCTTTATCGTGTATGCTCTTACCTTGCTACGGAAAATGGGCAAAGAAGTATTTTGTCTTTCATTTCTTATGCCAGGGGCTTGAATTGGCGGATAAACAACTACTATTTGCTTTTGCGCCTTTAATTTGTCGCGGCGAGGCGAATAATAATCGAACCAAGGCATCCCGTTTATGAATCATACACCCCACCTCTAGGCTACCTTGACCGATTCGTAACTCTTTGAAACTGAAGAGATAACGTACAAATTGATACTCTGATTATAGCATGTATAGTGAAGAATGCCAATAATCCTTATGAGTTCATTATAACATAAAAAAAATCATCGTCTTCATTAGTTTTGTCATTTAAGACTCAATACAATTCCTTCTCAATTACACTTATTTATGACCTCTGAATATATTTTTGTGCATAGTCGTCTTAAGACCGAACACCATTTCACAATATTTTAAATGCCATTTCGCACCTTTCATATATTATTTCTTTAAAACCCATCTAGAGTCGATAATTTTTTTAAACTGATAAAAATGCAAATCACAATAGATAGGGTTTGCAGGAGGCATGAGTCACAAAAATTCTTCCAGAAAAGATGGTAGATTACGTAAAACTAAGCGCGATAATAATAATTAATTTATAACATATGTTTCGTTTATTTCGATAGATTCCTGAAAATATGCCAGGTTTACAATATCCGTTTCCTGTTTACATGGTGGATCAATGCCCCAAAAGCAGGACGTCATGGAACGCGTCATCAACGTCACGACGCTGTCCTGTTGACGTCAACGGCAGAAGTACGTACCACTGCGTCCCTAACCAGCAGCTGACAGGGTTGATAGAGTTCTGCTACCCTAGACAGATAGGACTGTATGAAAATGGTATGTTTTCTTATATAAATCAAAGTACTCAGAATACAGAGCTTCGGACTTGTTTATTGAGCAATGACCGTTGTGCCGTTTCGCATCAAATATTCTATTATAATAGAAGTAGTTTGGCATATCAAATTCAATGCATTGTAAACAACTATTAGGTTACTTGTCATTAAATTTGTATTATAATCTCAGTGCCAGGACATTGTTATTTTTCGAATTTGAGTTTATGGGAACATCTTCCTGTAGATGTTTTTCTTCGAAGTTTAACTTACAATTTGCAATCGTTTCTCCTCATTTACAGTGGTTTTTGTTTATTTCTCCATTCACACTATTACTCTTACCTCACTTGAGCTGAAAACTCAAACGAACTTCTTTGAAAACATTTGAAACAGAGTCCGTCAAGCTGTTCGTTCTTCTGTCTTTCTGTCCGTCTGTAATCTTTTCACATTTTCGACGTCTTCACCTGAACCTCTGGGTCAATTTCGTCAAATTTTGGCACAAGATATTCTTTAGTAAAGAGGATTCAAAGGACAAGGTATGGCCCTTTCTTTGATGTAAAAATTAAAACACAGTAAATTGTGATTGTTTGCAGTTAAGAACTTTAAATGATGCTTAATTGGAAACCAGTGTTAGTTTTGATTTAAAGCTTTCACAGAGGCCACAATAGGGTGCCAAATTGGGACATGTCCTCATTTATGGTGGAATTTCATTAAATCTGATAAACTTGTACAAATGAAAGCAATGTTTACTTGTACGTGCACCCTTATACATGTACTAGTATTTTTTACGCGGGTTAGGTAGCATACAGATCATAATTCAGCGAATTAACACTTCTTGTATGATATGTAACACAAATAAATCGGAAAAGTCATTAGTAAAACTTTTGCTATTATTATGCATTCTATAGACTTCACTGGTACTTAAACTACAGGAATTACTACAAAGCGACGTCTTAACCTGTCGTTTATTATTAGAAAATATACCTTAATGAAAAAGTGAAACGTTCAACACTACCCCAGGGCTAATTAATTTCAATTTGTAATAAAAGTTATGTAACAAACATCTATGTACCATGAAAACATACTGCTTGAATCTTACTGTCCTATCACAGAAACAATTATTCAACACTGTCGGAGGAAACATTTCCAAAAAATTTACATATTGTTGATAGGATCGGAAAAAATGTATCAATTGCTATTTACCATGATACGATTTAGCAGCACTTTTCAAAAACAATAGAATAAGATATTTAGATTGAAACAAAAATTAAGTTTCAAAGTATACGGCCTAGTGTTGAACTTTTGCATTTTTTTGTTACGAATGACAGAGGAAAGGCTAATCGGCAAGTAAGCACACACGCTGCTTTTTATTGTACCATCGTCAACTTACCTTACTTATGCAGCAATATACCTTCATTACCTGCATTCGGGGTATATATATCTCAGTTGATTCTATATGCAAGAGCATGCTCTACGTTAGAACGATTTCTAAATCGGGTGAACTTTTTGAAAAGCATGTTGATGAAACAAGAATATCAGCAGTCTCGTTCAAAGTTATCATCTCGTGGGTTCAATGGTCGATACAATGACCGTGTCAGCAAATGCAATTTATCATTTAGTCAAGTGCTGACTGACGTTTTTCATACTTATTGTTAGTCCATTATTTGTACACTATGACGACGACAAAGAGCACACGGCGGTATGACCGGTTGACAGGGGATGCTTACACCTTTATATGGCATCTGATCCCACCTCTGATGCTTCGGAGGTCCGTGTTTGCTATGCCCCTATTTTCGTTATCTCCATATCTCTCTCTAAATCCTTTTTAACTCCGATTTCTTGTGTTTATTTATTTGAATTCTCGTTTTGTTTCACTTTCACTCTGCTAGTTCTGATTAACAGTTATGACGTCACAGGTTTGGTACTTAATTAACCCCTTTGATATTATACATAGACCCAGAAACGAACGACAAGATTTTGGTGACATTATGCCTCTGCATATTTTAATTCATTTTTACGACCTCAACTCAATATCATATACCGATTTTAAGAAATTGTTATATCTAAAGTTCACGTTATATAGCTTACTGTGACGTCATATTATGAAGGCATGTAGAATATTTGGTTGTAACATTAACACACCTGTGTATAAACTTGACATGAAAGAAAAGTTAAAAATAAAAGAAACAGCGCTGTCGATCGTCGTCATCTGAAAACGGAAAAACGTTATCAAAACGTTGGCGGTTCTTAAATTACCATCCAATGATTATTTCGCGCAAATCTGCAATATCGTTAAAATTAGCTATAATATACATCACTGAAAAGGAAACACACGTTCAAGGTTAGGTTTCTGTATAACGATTCATCATCTCACGATATACGAGGGGCGTTCAATAAATAATGTCATTAGCTCGATGACATACAACACAGTAGTCTTATGACATAAAGCTTGACTTTCTCTCATTGTTGAATCTTTAATGAATTTATAACAGTTTATGTGACCACTTTTCATCACATAGTTTTATCGTGAGGAGCTGGGAAAAAAGGGCTATTCGAGACACTGCATTTTTAATGAATGGTAAAGAATCAGTTGTTGTTCAAAATCGTATTCGGGGAGACAGCTTAATATCTGGAGGTGTCTAGAAAGCAGTTTTTTGCAAAGAAATTGAAAGGTTTATCAGAGAAAGGACCCAGAATCAGGAATCCACTACATTGAATTTCTTCATGATAGCGTTCAAACCCGCATGCCCTAAAGAGTAAAGGGGTTTACGGGATAAACAGAAAGTAAATGTTTGTTCACATTAACAATATTTGCCAGTTCTTTGACCTTTTGACTTGTTTCTATTTCCAAACTTGAAAAAAAACCCTTTCAGAAGGAAAAAACAAGTCCAGGAAATCACTGGATCTGCCATTTTCCAGTATACTAAGGGTCATACCCTAAAATGAGTTCTAAAAACAATCAGAAATTGGATAAAAAATGTTACGGACATGAGTTTAAATTAAAAAAAAAATTAATATGCAAAATCATGAAGACTAAATCATTAAAAAGCGCCGTTTGCTTCTTTCTGAGCCCCAATGACATTATTTATTGAATGCCCCTCGTAATATACATTTAACCGGTTATGATATAATAAGTAGCAAATATTTTTGTATACGTCCTATTTTTTCTTTAAGGTACCTGTTTATACCTCACTAACTCTGACTACGTTAATCAAGTAAGCTGCACAGACTTCACCCAGGGTTGTCCTGAACAACCTTATTTCAGCAATGAAATATACAAATGTTTGTATAATTTTAAAGCTGCATTATTAAAGCTATATGAGCTGCAACTTTGATGTTAGAATTTTTTGCTGCAAAATTGTTAATAAATATTTCAATGACAGAAAAAAAAGAATATTTAATAAATAAACTTCTGTTGTTCATATTTGCGATGAAAGAACTATTTGTAAGCTTTGATTGAATCAAAATTGTATAATGTCGTCCTGTACAATAACAATTTCTAATATAACTAGGAGACTAATTGTTCACTGAACAATAAACGGCTTTCCACCTCTTTTTAAGTTTTCATGTCATTTGAATTGAAAAAAAAATGTAAAAAAAAAACAAAATTCAAAAGTGCTGTCAGCAGGATTTGAACTGTGGACCCTCAGATTTCCAGGCGAGCGCTCTATGCACTACGCCACAGGCTCCTATGAAATTGTTTTCCGTAAACTAAGAGTGTAGATAAAAGAAGAAATGAAAGCACGTGAATTTAAATAAAAATAGTACAGAAAAACGTGCATTTATTTGTTTGTGATGGAACATAGTGAGGAATAATGAATAGTTCTAAAAAGAACGATTGGTGGATAATGAAAATGGAGATTTCCTATAAAAAAATCATTTGAGTTTGTTTATAGTTTGAATAGATTGAGTTAATCGTACAGAGCTTATGATACATTCGAACTTCCGTGTCGGCACTGTGTTTACAATTTGTGAAAATATAGGCGCGTTCGTTTTGACAGATATGGTGAACTCATAGGTTAGATTAAAGAATCATCTCTATTTGGATTGAATTAATAGTTATGAGCATAAATTAAACTTGAAACATGCATTTCATGAAGAAAACGTTGTCACCGAGAGGGCGGAAATTTATTTGATAGGAAAAATCGCGATTTTCGAAATTCATCCGATTAATATTGAATCAGTCTAAATAAATTTCAAATAAATTCCACATTCTAAAGAAAGCATGAATACTTGGCAGTAAAATGTTGTATTAGAGGAGGAGAATCAAATGCTATTAACAAAAACTGATGAAATAGCCAAAGCAAGCTTTAATTATCATTTATGCTCATCAGCACTTAAATTTCAGTAGAAAAAAAAATGTAGTTTTTGCCGATATTGAATAGAATTTCATTATACTTAAGAGACTCACCGTAAAACTGCCAGGACACCTTTTTTGAGGTGTTTTCTACATTTTAATCTGAATTTCATGTCGATCTGTGATCTCCTTTAAGTTGTACAAAATTTATCTACGTCGCTATTGATTTTTTGTGTGTGTGTGTGTTTGAAAGGAGGGGGTGGGTGTATAAGCATTTCTTTAAGAGAGAGTTGTAAATACCTCCAAGACCTTTAGCTTTATTGTGACCTTTTGGTCAATGGGGTCAAAGGTCAAGGTCATTTATCAAGGTCAAGGTCATAAAAAAACCATGATAAACTTGAGATTAACACTTTTGAAGCTGAATCTAGGTAAAGGTAATAAAGATTTCTTTATGACTTTTTGAGTAAGGGTCAAGGTCAAAGGTCAAGGTCAGAGTCACAAATCAAGGTCAAAGGTCAAGGTCATTTGGAAATTCAGCTTAAATCGCCAATTTCTCTAGCTTTCCAATTACCTTGACCTTTGACCTTGACCTCATTTTCAAGGTCAAAAGTCACAAGATCTCATGCACTTGGTCCTATATCTTTACCTCTTGTCTTTTAAAAGTTTTTTGGCTTTTTGGTAAACTTTAAAACTTTCAGGGGCAATAATTATTGGAAGGAGCTGACAAATTTTTGCACTTCTGTCTGAAGAATTGACTAAATCAGTTGAAGACTTTAGTGAAGGTTTCATACCTCTACGGTTTCCGGTTTCGGAGGAGTAGCGATAACAAGCATTTCTTGCATAAAGGGCAATAACTTCGAAAGGGGTCAAAGTTCAAACACGGGGGGTCGTTTTTTGGAATAACTTTTAATACCCAATATCATGATCTATAAGGTTTTTTGATAAGACTTGCGATTTCAAAAGTCCGGGAAGAAAAATAATAATAACTAGTAAACTAATTGTTCAGAGAACAATAAGACGTCTTTCCACCTTTTTAAGTGTTTCAATATCATTTGGGCTGAAAAAAGTAGAAAAAAGCAAGAAAATAAATAAAACAGCAAAATTCTCATTTCTCTACTAGGATATTAGATCGGGCTCGCAGTTGGTATAAATATATTCTGAACAGACTTCCTGGATTATACGAGTCGACTCGGGGATAAGCACGAATTCATTGATCACGCAATGAGAGCACATAAAAAAACATTGTAACACGCTCCTATGTGTATATATGAGCTTGAATGAGATTGTTTTCAAGTTAAGATCTAAGGGGTAGGGTCTGATTAAAATTATGATATACCTATTAATATGAATAACATGCATTTGATCTGCGCATCAAGACGGAAGCGTAAGTGAAAACGTTGTGAAATGTCCCATGTGTACCTGAATCATATGTGCATTATACATGTATTAAAGAGATGTTTGAAAATATCCGATTTGAGTTGTTTTATGTTTGAAATGGATGGCGATAAATTATTTAAGAGCATGTGAGAAACATGAGCGAGAGATGCAAGGCAGTTTGTAATTATGGAAAAGGAAAACAGAGAATCGGGTTCGGGTTTTAACATTCCTGACCGAAATAGGCATGAAATTCAATGTGAGTAGCATAAATAAAATTCCAAACATGTAATTCTAGATGGGAAACACAGGGAAGAAACGTGTATTTCTTTTTACTATGCTGAAAGTCGCTATTTCTTGGGATTGTGTTATTCTAGAAAAAAAAAAAAAAAAAAAAAATCAAATTTCACATGAAATCAAAATTCATTTCATTAATATTAAATCCAAATAAAATTGAAATAAATTCCATACTCTAAAGAAAGCAAGAATACTTGGCATTAAAATGTCGTAATAGAGCAGGAGAATCGAATGATATTAACAACAATTGCAGAAATAGCCAATACGGGCTTTAATTAATTTTTATGCTCAGCAATAACTAAATTTAAGACAAAAAAAATGCAGATTTTGCCGATTTTCACTAGAATTTCATAATATTTTAGAGACTCACCTTAAAACTCTCAGGACACTTTCTTTAAGGTCTCTTCTTGCTTTTACTCCGAATCTTATGTCGATATATCGTGTCTTTTGACTTAAAGACATTTTCTCTATGCTGCTGTTGATTTCTCTTTTTTTTTTTAAAGAAAAGGGGGGGGGGATATAAGTATTTGTTAGAGTAAGAGTTGCAAATACCTCAACGACCTTAAGCTTGATTGTGACCTTTGGGTCAATAGGGGGTCAAAGGTCAAGGTCATTTATCAAAGGTCAAGGTCATCAAAAAAAAAAAGAAAGAGAGAGAGAGAGAGATAAACTTGAGATTAACACTTGAATATGAATCTAGATAAAGGTAATGAATATTTCTTTATTACTTTTTGAGTAAGGGGTCAAGGTCAAAGGTCAAGGCCAAATATCAAGGTCAAGGTCATTTGGAATTTTTTTATAGCTTGAATCGACAATTTCTCTAGTATTACAATGACCCTGACCTTTGACCTTGACCTATTCTTCAAGGTCAAAGGTCAAAAGATCTCATGCAGTTGGGCCCATGTCTTTACGACTTGTCGTTAAGAAGTTTTTAGTTCTTCGTAAACATCATAAACTGGCAGGGGCAATAACTACTTAAAATGGTTTACAAATTCTTTCACACTAATGGAACGAGAAGTGTTCTAAATTAGTCGCAGACATTGTTGAAGGTTTCGTACTTCTATGGTTTACGGTTTCGGAGGAGTAGCGATAACAAGGGTTTACACTGAAGGGGGCACTAACTTTTAGAGGGGTCAATCTTAGGGGACAAGAATGAAATCTCTGAAATGGTTTTAAAAGTACATAGTGAAGATGCAAAGATGTTTAAAATTTGGTAAAGAACAAAAGAGGTATATAAAGAGCTTAATTTTTCATATTTTTAATGACCTTGACCTTTGACCTTGACATCAATTTTAAGGTCAAAGGTCAATGAATCTTTTGCAGTTGGCCACATGTCTCTAGGACATGTTGTTTAAGAAAAGATTTTTATATTCCTAAACATCGCAAACATTCAGGGGCAATAATTAATCATAGGAGTTTACGAATCCTTTGGCAATGAAGGATTGAAGTCTACTAATTAAGTCGTAGACATAGGTGAAGGTCTGGAAACGCTGCGGTTTACGGTTTCGGAGGAGTAGCGATAACAAGCTTTACGACAAAAGGGGTAATAACTGAGTAAGGGGTCAAAGTTCAAATACGTTGGGTCATTTTTCAGAATAACTTTTGATATCCAGTATCTTGAACTACAAAGTTTTTCGATAAGTCTTGCGGTTTCAAAAGTCCGGCGGAAAAAGAATAATAATAAACATAAGCATTTCAAGAGATCTTTCCACAGAAAGGTGGAAAGACCTAATAATATGTGTTTTGAAGGACCTTGACCTTTGACCTTGACCTAAATTTGAAGGTAAAAGTTTTTAAAGTTGTCGAAGACACTGTTTAAGGTTTCGCATCGCTACGGTCAATGGTTTCGAATGCGTAACGATATGAAGGCTTTTCTCACAAGGAGGAAGAACTTTTTTATACGTCAGGCTTGATGGGTACAGAGAGACATTTGAAAACAGTTTTAAAAGGATACTTGATAAATTTGATGGCATCAAGGTCAAAGGTCAAGGTCATCAAAAAAAAAAAAAACTCTCATAAACATGAGTTTAACACTTGAAGCTGGATCAAAGCTATATAAATAATGAATATGTTATAAACTCTTGAGTAAGGGTCAATGTCAAAGGTCAAGGTCAACTACCAATGTCAAAGGTCAAGTTCATCTTGTAAAAATAAACATGTATAAGCAATTTCATACTTTTATCAATGACCTTGACCTTTGACCTTGTCCTTAAATTCAAGGTCAAAGGGCAGAAGATCTCATACACTTGGCCACATGTCTTTACGACTTGTCGTGAAGAAGTTTTAAGTTCTTCGTAAACATCGTAAACTATGAGGGGCAATAACTTCTTACATGGTTTACGAATTCTTTTGCTCTGAATAGATTGGAAAGTGTACTTAATTAGTCGCAGACATTGTTCAAGGTTTCGTACTTCTACGGTTAACGGTTTCGGAGGAGTAGCGATAACAAGGGTTTACACTGAAGGGGGCACTAACTTTTAGAGGGGTCAGTCTCAGGGCACAAGAATGAAATCTCTGAAATGGTTTTAAGAGTACATATTGAAGATGCAAAGATGTTTAGAATTTGGTTAAGAACAAAAAGAGCTATAAAAAATGCTTAATTTTACATATTTTGAATGACCTTGACCTTTGACCTTGACCTATATTTTAAGGTCAAAGGTCAATGAATCTTTTGCATTTGGTCCCATGTCTGTACGCCTTGTCGTTTTAGAAAAGTTCTTGATATTCGTAAACATTGCAAACATTCAGGGGCAATAATTTGTTATAGGAGCTTACGAATCCTTTCGCAATGTTTGATTGGAGAGTCTTCTAAATTAGTCGTAAACATTAATTTAGGTTTGGAATCTCTGCGGTTTACGGTTTTGGAGAAGTAGCGATAACAGACATTTCTTGCGAAAGGGGCAATAACTTCGAAAGGGGTCAATGTTCAAACTTCTTGGGTCGTTTTTCGAAATAACTTTTAATATCCACTATCATGAACTATTAAGTTTTTCGATAAGTCTTGCAGTTTCAAAAGTCCGGCAGAAAAAGAATAAAAAACATAAGCATTTCAATAGGTCTTTCCACAGAAAGGTGGAAAGACCTAATAATAACTAGAAACGATACTCGTTGCGAGCAACGAGAGGTCTTCCGTCCGATTCTGAAATAAAAAGAAAAATCGAGCTAGAAAAGTAAAAAAAAATATTCGGATATTCGGGGGAGCGAACCCGGGTCGCCTGCATGACAATCCAACGCGCTAACCATTCGGCCATTGAAAACACCGCTTCAAATTTTTAAATGTAAATATGTCAAGATTGCCTTTAAGGATTTTAAATCAAATTACATATCATGCATTCTTAAAGGAGTCTCTATTTAGATTATTAATATCAAAGAAAAATATTGAAAAACAAAAAAGTTGAAAAATTGCATTTTTTAAATACTCTTCCGGTAGCAACCGGAAGTACTGACGACGCACAAAAAGGTGATTTCACTTATCTTAGAGTCATACTCTATCATCTCTAATAAGTCTTCAGTTAATACCTTTAACCATTTTTGAAAAAAAGGGGCGACAAAAATTCATTTTAAAATCAGAAAACTGTCAATATCTTGGAACCGAATGTGAGTATTCCAAATTTTCCTTCTGATGAACAAAGTTCATATAATGATGCATGATTCCTGAAAGTTTCATTGAAATCCACCGAATAGTTTAGGAGAAATCGCCTGCACAAAATTTTGGGGGAAAAAAATAATAATAATAACTAGAAACGATACTCGTTGCGAGCAACGAGAGGTCTTCCGTCTGATTCTGAAATAAAAAGACGAAAAATCGAGATGGAAAAGTAAAAAAAATATTCGGATATTCGGGGGAGCGAACCCAGGTCGCCCGCGTGACAGTCCAACGCGCTAACCATTCGGCCATTGAAAACACAGCTTCAAATTTTTAAATGTAAATATCCCGAGATTGCCTTTATGGATTCTAAAACAAATTACATATAATGCCTTCTTAAAGGAGTCTCTATTTAGATTAATAATTTCAAAGAAAAATATTGAAAAACAAAAAAGTTGAAAAATTGCAATTTTTAAATACGCTTCCGGTAGCAACCGGAAGTACTGACGACGCAAAAAAAGGTGATTTCAAATATCTGAAAGTCATCCTCTATCATCTCTAATAAGTCTCCAGTTAATATCTTAAGCCATTTTTTTAAAAAAGGGACGACAAAAATTCATTTTAAAATCAGAAAACTGTCAATATCTTGGAACCGAATGTGAGTATTCCAAATTTTCCTTCTGATGAACAAAGTTCATATAATGATGCATTATTCCTGAAAGTTTCATTGAAATCCATCGAATATTTTAGGAGAAATCGCCTGCACAAAATTTTGGGGAAAAAAATAAGAATAACTAGAAAAGAAATTCGTTGCGAGCAACGAGAGGTCTTCCGTCTGATTCTGAAAAAAAAAAAAAAAACTCTGCAAAATCGAGCTGAAAAAAAGTGATCAAACTTCATTTGAAACTAATGGGATAAAACCCGAATCGCCAGCGTGAAAATGCAATGCGCTTACTATTACGCTATCAGGACCACAGCTCTAAATGTATTTGTATATGTTTACTTCTGCAACAGTTCATCGGTCTTAGAATAATGAAAGGCGAATCACTATTCTAAATTTTGCGTCAAACGCCACAAGTAAATCTTTGCACCTTTTCTGAGGAATATTCCATTTAATAGGTGTGATAGCTTCAATGGAAAGAAAAAAAAAACGTTCTTATAGCTAAAATATCAAGGTGAAGACAGTATAATTAACATACTTTACAAATTTCATATTGTATATAAGCAAGTAACAATAAAGCAGTGAAACAGTTATGCATTTTTAACTTTTTAAAATTTCCTGTTTTTCCCCTAAGTGAACTATCCCGATTAGCTAAGCTTTCATGAAAAGGTTAAAATTTTTTGCCGAAAAACGTGTCGCCCGAAGACAGTCAATGAATTGGATTCCATTTATGCTCAATAACTTGAATCAGATCTTTGAGACAAGAATGTTAATATAAACTTCATTTAGCGATCTTTAAAAAAACTATTGTCTTATTTTGTCTTTTCTATTATTTTCATATGACACAAGTGTGCGTAGGAAAAACAGATTGTAATTTTTATACATACTATATTCATTGATACTGTTTCTAGAAAAAACTATTACTTATAACTATGATTTAATATCTGTTTTCACGTGTTGCAAATCAGAAGGTACCGGTATTAGGTATCGAATTTCATTTTCACATTTAGTCATTTCTTTTTCTACTTTGAGAACCAGCCAAAACCACTTATAGAAGACATTAAAGAAGTTCATTGTTCGACACAGAATTGCAACGTAACTACGACGTGACAATCCAAGTATTCCTTTACATTTTATTTTTCCTTGTGTTACTTTCGTTCGAGCAAACGCTCGGCTGACTCCATAAACCCCTGTTGCGAAATGTCGGAGTTGACAGAGACAGCCGCCATCTTGGACCCGCTTCAGTAAAAATGCTAATATCTAGAGTTTCGATTTATCAATATTCAAATAAATTATATAGTAAGCATCAATAGAAGGGTCTCTATTAGCATTCCAAAAATAAATAAAAAATATTGAAGAACAAAAAAGTTAGAAAATACAATTTTTTTAATTCGCTTCTCCTAACGACAGGAAGTACCGACGACGAACGAAAGGTCGCGTCCTGGATAGTATATATCACGATCTATAATCCCTGAAAGTTTCACATTTATATCTTCTACCGTTCTTGAGATTAACCGTAGACAAAATGTCATTTTAAATTCAGAAAATGTCCCATAACTTGGTACCAGAAGCGAATTTTCAAAAAATTTCTCGGAAAAAATAACTTCAGATAATAACACATAATTTCTGTAAATTTCATGAAAATCCACCCAGTAGTCTTCGAGAAATCGCGTGCACAAAATTTGGTGTACGGAAAAATAATAATAATAATAATAATAAGAAACAATAGAATCACTATAAGGTCTTCCGTGAAGACGGAAGACCTTAATAATAATAATAAGAAGAAGAAGAAGAAGAAGAAGAAGAAGAAACAGTAGAATCACTATAAGGTCTTCCGCTGAAGACGGAAGACCTTAATAATAATAAACATAAGCATTTCAAGAGGTCTTTTCACAGAAAGGTGGAAAGCCCTAATAATGTATATTCCATAGTATAGAAGCCTTTCTCCTGAAACAATTTGATGCATTATTTTAGTCGAATTTATCAAAAGGGTTTACATTACGCACAAATTTTTCTTAAAAACACATTTTAATAGCTAAATGAAATTTTCTACAATGCAGCTCATATTGCTTTAACAATTGGATTTTGAATGTATCAATTTTACTTTATAATTATGTAGTAATAATTAATGTAACACAGCATGCGAATTTTTGTTTTCTTGAACATTGTTTCTTTACACTAAGCATAAAAAATTAAAATATCCACTTGTTGTTTTACTAGATCAGGAATGTTTAGTTATTGACAAACAAACCCATTGCTACGAAGCAGCAGAGTCGTGTCGGAATACAAAAACGTAAATATTCTCCTCTCTCTCTCTCTCTCTCTCTCTCTCTCTCTCTCTCTCTCTCTCTCTCTCTCTCTCTCTCGTGTTATTTTTTTATTTACGTATTTTTTTTACAGTAGCACAGATGTGTTTTCCTCAATACCACCAACTTCATTGGACTACATACCAATATTATTAGGAGTAATGTTACCAATCATTGGGATTTTCATTCTGTTGTGTGCTTTATTTATAAAACACAAGAAGAATTCAAGCAAGGAGGACAACATGGATCCAGAACAGGCGCATCTTCTCTGTAAGTAATTATGTTAATTGAAGCTATAATGATACATATACCGAAAGAGGTAATTTGAATCATCTTTATTTCAAACATATCTGCGAAAATTCTTCTCTGATTACGAAAAAGTACGGTTTTTTTTCTTTATTTGCATGTTAGCTATTCACAGTGTAAAAGAATGTAAACTCCGTTGTACTACTGATAAAGTAATACCTTATCAAAATTCACATAAATTGAAATAATTTTTTGAATTGTTTTCATTGTAATTACAATTTTATGATTTATGCATACAAACACATATGAGCATGACTTGATTTGAAATAAAATCATTCAAAGAGAGTTGTAATAATGTTTGCTAGCATAATATAAATGATGATGTTTATTAGTAGATGGTTTTTAAACAATATATCTGGTATATGTACATTTTCTAGTAAAAATATAAATAGAAAAATTTGATAAAAATTTAATATATTACCTTCCAAAGTATTTATATATTTAAGCAAAATGCAATTAAAATATTTATTGTATGTTTTTTTTAAATAAATTTAATGTTATTTAGCGGTTTATAAAAAGCGTAATCTGTCCCAAGTTTTGTTATATTGTATAATATAAGTTGAAATAAGTTTCATTCCTTGTAATTTAATTTCAGTGCAGACAATTAGACATCCCCCCAAGAATAAGGTTTCACATTGATTAAATCTTAAAAGTAACGTCAAGCGAAGTAATACATTTTTTACGTAACTCATTGTGACGTAGGCAAGTTATGTTATAAAAAATAGATAAAATCTTTTATCCAATCAAATGACGTGTTATAAGTGAAATTATTGAAAAAAATATTTTTAAAAAATATTTTTAATCCTATTTTATTTTTGTTTTTTAATGAAATTTAGAGAATGGCAATCCAGGTGAGGTATTTATAGAAACTCGAGCGTACCAGAAAGCAAGAGATGTTTTGTTCGTCAAGAAATATGTTTTCGTAAAAGGAAATCCAGGAGACGGTAAAACGGCAATAGCTAGACAACTCTTGAAAGAATTGAAAATATCTTATAATAAACGTGAGAAGGTTGTCACGGGTCTTAAGGAATTGTGTGGAAAACATGATCAAACCAAAGATACCGTATTTTTTGTAGATAATATCTTCGGAGAATATGTTTTCAGGAGCTCAGAAATAGAACAATGGGAAACAACAACGATTTTTATGGAAAATGTTCTCTCAAATGAAATTGACAAGAAAGGAAACTTTTTAATTGTTACAATCCGCAATGATATGTATTCGGAAATTCGAGCTCAACTGCAATTTAAAATGGACTTCATTAAAAATGCTTTAGTTGATATATCGGACACGGAGAACAAATTGACGAATGAAGAAATGAAAAAGATTTGTAATCTTTATGTAGGAATACCATTACC